CATCTGTTCCCTCAACCCCCTCCAACCCACCCCCACCTCGGCCCTTTCTCCCGCACCCTTTTTCCCATCTGTGTAGACATATCAAAAGCTTTAATATTTTTATATTGATGATTTATGGCGGGCTGATAGAAAATATATTATACCAGACCCCTACGCCAAATCTACGTGCAGTTCTGAACGCAGTACTAGGGAAAATTAATCCTATTTGGATGGTTAGGAGTCATCTTTATGTGATAGTGATAAATGATGAATATTTTTTATGACTATCTAAACAGTACTATTTATTATCTTGAATAGAAGTCGAGATAATTGCGACTGGGGGTGGCCTGGTGTCAGGGGTAAACTTAACGAGAAATTGGTCGCCAAAGGTTGGTGATTTCCAAAGCTTGAATGTCCCTGAACACTGCAAAATTACAAATTGTTGTGGCTTTGATCAACGTTTTTCACTGAAATCTGCACAGACAATGCATTTTAGTTTTAGTGGAGGTTTAACGGCGCTCGCAACTGCATAAATTCATATGAGCGCCAGAAGATTAGAGGTGTTACAAGAAAGTAACAAAAATAAAGAAGAAGAAGGGGGAGATAAGGACGATAGATGTTTCATAGGAAAGATGAAGCAAACCACACCAGAGCACCCGCCAACCACCCACAGACAATGTATTTATAATGAACTTAAAAGTTATTGAGCCAATAGATAAATACATAAAGAAATAAAGAAATACATTATTTTCTAAAACGACAACAATTGCTCAACGGGCAGAAAAAATGTGGTTTTCTTCAATTTCCTTATTTTGCAAGCGCCTAAATTTTACTACTTTGCCAACAAATATACAAGACGTCAGATCTACGAACAGCTCTAAACGCAGTAGTAGAAAAATTAATCCTCTTTGGATGGTTAGGAGCCCTGATGTGATAGTGATAAATGGTGTTTTTAATGACTATCCACACAGAACTGAATGATGGTCGCAGTTCGATATTGTATGGTCGCAAAAGTACATTTGACCATTTTTTTTTACCGTGGAAGTTAATATTTAAACAAATGGACTTTGGAGACACCCGAAGGACATATTTTATATGCACTAATTTAACCGAAAACATTTACCATAAAATAGCCCCCCCCCCAAAAAAAAAATAAAAAAATAAAAATGGCAAGCACTCATAAACATAAACACAACAAACGAACACGCAAATGTATAAATACTCGTATTTGTAAGGTAATAATTGAATATTTTACACCGTAGTCAGAACTGGTTTTTTTTTTTTTTATTCAGTAAGAGTTTTACGGCACTTGAAACATAACTG